TTTTGGGTGAACAAGTTTAGGATATTGTCCATTGTATCTTCGACTTTCTCACCATCAATCTTTCCAGAACACAGGTATGAGCTCTTGGATCAATAGCCCAATCAAATCTATGTATTACAAATTCATATCACATTTTATGTTTTTCCCTCCTTTGCTCTTTGAGGGTTTGTTTCCCACACCGCCATCCTGAAACACAACTGCTCCTAACACTAGCTCTGGGCTCTATCTTGCTTTTCCCTTCACTATCTCTTCCCTGCATCAATCTTTGCCAACCACTATTATATGTTGCTGACCTTTGTATCTTACGTGGCTTCACTATCACCTATGCTTTTCTTTGTGAACACAGTCCCTCGAACATCACATAACAGATTTACTATATTTATATACCCACATCTAAGAACTTATAGATTGTACAGTTTGAATACTTTGTTCTATGCCTCCTCATAACTTGGTTTCTACAGGTGCCTATTTATGCCTCACCTTGAGTTAAATTTCTCGACCGTCTTCGGTTTGGTGCCTCATCAAAATTGTCAACATTCTAACTCATACAAGTCATTGCCGGTATGCCTCTGACGATACTACTAACTTTCCCAGGTACATATTATAACGATAATAACAACGTGCAGACCGGTTAAAGCAAGTTTTGTGACATTTGAACTAACTTCTGCATAACTTTGAGATGAACATCGAATGTCAGGACATCTCAACATCGCGCATTCTGCTCTTCAACAATGATGCAACAATCTCACTGCTTCAAAACTTGGCAAAAGAATATTTGGCCCTCACTGAAACCCTCAGGAGTGCATGCCACAGGTAAGTGATAGGAAGAATGGTCACTGTGGAAATTGGAACTGGACAAGATACAAATGTTGGCCCCTCGGTTTTTCAGGTCTTCACCCTGTGGGATCCACTTACCTTCGCCATAAAGACTCTCTAGAACACTGTCTGTCGCTCTATGTAGGGCTGCAAATGAGCCAAGCTGCTCGCGAGCAACTCGGCGTTCGAATCGGAAAAAACTCGTTCGACACTCGACTCGTTATTTAACAAGCCGGCTCGCGAGCCAACTCGTTAGTTAACGAGCCAAGCCTGAGCTAGACCATGCTCAGCTTGATAAGCTCGCGAGCTAGCTTGATTCGGTGGCTTGTCGAGCTAAGCTCGCGAGCTGCCTTGTTTTGAGCTTGTGGAAGGATGAATTACTCTTTTAAACATGAACATTGTCTTCTAATACAGATGTGTATGAAATTTAGATGTTATTTATAGTTTGTAGTGTTCTTTCTATCATTTAAATTCTTATGTTTATACATTTTTCCAGCAAAAATGATTTTAAATCGAGCTCATCTTGAGTCGAGCTTGTACTCAGCTTGACAAGCTATGTTAATGAGCATTTATCGAGCTCTACCGAGTCGAGCTCGAGCTAGATTATTTTTATTCAAGCCGAGCTCGAGCTCGAGCTGGATTATCAAAATTCGAGTTCGAGCCGAGCTCGAGCTGAAAAATTAATAAACGAGCCGAGCTCAAGCTAAGCAAAAACTCGACTCGACTCGGCTCGTTTGCAGCCCTAGCTCTATGATGTCAACAACTGGCTGTGTTGGTGTTGTGACCCAGACAATGTTCTGCACTACGCTTTTGTAATATCAATGTTGTAACAGCTATATGTCTTTCCTAATCGATTGAAAATGATTGCCCAATGGTTTAATCGAGACTTTGTGTGTTGTAATTTAGTTTTCAAAATCTGCATCTCATTATTATTATCTTATATATAAAAGCTAGATACACTTTTTTGCCAAAGTTACTATTTCAATTTTTGTCTTTTAGTAATGATGAAAAAACTTGCTATCTTACCCCATCCCTCACACACTCAAATATATACTCTTTTTTGCCAAAGTTACTATTTCAATTTTTGTCTTTTAGTGATGATGAAAAAACTTGCTATCTTACACCATCCCTCACACACTCAAATATATTAAAAAAAAAATTACCATATGGTCAAAGATATTGTATGTATAACAAAGGGGAAGATTGCTTTGTTTAGCCGCATCGAGTCGAAAATAAAATCGAGTAAAATAATTTCCTTGAAACCAGAGGCTTAAGCGGTTCAATTTGATTTCAAGAAAATGAAACCCAAGGCTTAATTGAATATTGAGTGTTTGTGTATTGGTTGTTATTTTATTTTTATTGTTTTCAGTTTTTCAGTTTTGACCAAACAAAAAATGCTAAGTACAAAAAGTTTGAGACCAAAACCAAAAAACGATAAGAGCACCTTATCTGTTCGTTTAGTTGAAATTCAAGAAATTGAATCCGAACTGATAGTCCTATGTATGGCACACTTTGCCATCTTTCATTTTGGTCTTCAGATTATCCAAAATCTTAATTAATTGATTTTTTCATTGTTGCTATGAGGGAAGTAAACATTGATGATGAATTCATTTTCTTTTTATTACAAATTAGGTCAGGTGTTAACTACTCTCAGGAAAACTCTTTGTGTTGTTGGGTTAAGCCATTGAAAATCACGAATAGGATACCACAGACAAATGATATATTCAAGTTCTTTACGTTTGTGAAAATGTAGTAAAGAATTAACTGAACTTTAGCGAGGATGAAAGGGTTTGTCATCTTACCCCATCCCTCACATACACTCAAATATATTAAACGAAAAGGTCTTTATTATTTGATCAAAGTTGTTATATGTATGATTAGGATGGGAGATTGATTTCAGTAACTAAATCAAATCGAAAATAAAAACCGCAAAATTTGAACAAGTAATATCCTGAAAAATGAACTATTAAAAGGCTTAAACGGTTCAATTTAATTTCAAGAAAATGAAACCTGAATAAATTTAATAATGAGGAAAATTCATATGCTAATATATGTTGCTCACTGTGCACATCTTACTTTCTTTTTCTGATTTACAACGTGGTCTTATTGGTGGTTGTTGGTCATGAAACTTAGTGCTTTATATTGCTTTGGATTTGGTCAATTTGTTCCTCTGTTCAATTGTTAAGTTTTGCTACATATATAAGTGATTGCTACAATTATATCATTTTGCTTCCATCTTTACTTGATCGAATTTGTGTATCCAACGAATTAACTGGTTGATAGAACTTGGATCCAACAAATTATATTATGAATGTTCTTATTTTTTCTTAATATATTAGACTTGCAAGAGACAACGATTAGTGGTGTCTTAAGTTGTATGGACAATGAATTTTTTTTTGTTAGTGAATTAGAGGTGAGGTGTTGTACATGTTAGGCCTATGAATAATAATCATATGTATGCGTTCACTTTTACTGTTGAATTCGCTTATCATATGGATATGCAATCGCTCTATGTAGTAGTTAATTCATTGTATGTTTCATGATCCAAGTCAAAGTTGTGCTCGATCGATAACCTTCTACTTCTCTTCCTCACTCACAACAAGTTGAATGTTATTATTCAATGATTTTTTTTTTTTGAAATTTTACATGTTTTCTCCAAGAGTTTTTATTATATGAGTCATGATGGTTAGGCGTAGCTTTCCTATTTATGCATTGTTCACTCAATATATGTTCATTCCCCCATTTTACCGATGAATGGTAGCTAAGTATTGTCGGAAATCATCACGGACTACAAAAATGGTTAATAATAAAATAGATGTCGAAAGACATATGAGATATCAACAACTGCTTCACTCTCCATTTAGCGAGAAAGGCCAACTAGATAACAAGAAAATATAATTTTTTTTAATCCCAATTTGTTCGGACCTACCAAGGTTCTAATAAAGCATGATAATAGTTTCTTACACTTATCTCATGTAAATGTAGAATAAGCTTTTAATCAATTTTTAATTTGTTTTATGTTGTTGGACATCTATTGTGTACTTCATTGTTTTTCTTTCCGTTCGTTAGTTTTAAGGAAAGGAGACCAATAAAATGAACTATGATTAGGGGTCTACACGAATCGGGGTGAGTTAGTTTTGAACCCTCTCAACCATGCAACTCATATGCCTCAGGTCAAGTGATGCACTACCCAAATCGAATTATATGACACATAAATCTATGTGTTTCAGGTGATGCGCGGGTCGAATTGGATTGATACTAGACATGTCTATACATTAACCAAATAGGACTGAACCTTGGTTCATTTTATGTTAATCAAACCAAATTGGTTGGTTATCAAAAATCGAATTGCTGTCATTTTAGCAATTGTAATTGATGTTGTTGCAGTTACTTGAGAACTGAATATTATGATTTTTGGTTATGTTGCGGTTAACTGCGTTCAATCAATTAACCTATTTGTCATTCTTTTTTGTTTAGGTTACCTAATGGGGTAGGTCATTTGGCTTTGGGGTAGTTTAATTTTGCGATTATTTGGAGATTTTGTTTTGCAGTTTGGTGTGCAGTTACACCAAACACCAAAGATTATCTACAACTAAATCTGCAACTATTCTATTTCTTCATTTTATTGTTCTCAATTGACTATTAATCGTAAAATTCGAATCAGACTTCGGTTAGCTTGCCATAACCAAATTTTCTACCATATAACCAAATACTCCCTGCGACGTAGCCGCGGGTATTGATTCTAGTATTCCTTAGTAGATGAGCTTTTACTGACCACAGGCTTGGCCTATGCACTCTTTTCCCACATCCCAACCCCTTTTTAGCTATTAGCAAACATGTACGTTAACATAGAGTAAAATTGTCCAAGACTCAAAAGTGACCATGGAACTGAACATACAAAACTCTACTGGGCACACTTTTGGCAAAAATAGAACCACATCATTTTAGCATCACCTCAATTGGTCATCGCATGATCACGACACTGCAACTTAAGTCCCCGCGGCGTAGCAGCGGGCATTGATTCTAGTATGGCAGTATAATAGGGCATGCCAAGACTCCCTAGATTCTATGCTCTAAGAGGCTCCCAATATTTCTGATCAGTTATGATTGGACAATGTAACCACGGTTACTGATTAATAAATGTCCAAGGTTTCATAAAAAGAAAAGGTTATTGATTCGTGTCAGACCGTCAAACTAACTGCAAATCAAACCAATAACAAGCAATTAACTGATATCAGTTTGATTTTCAGTATGCATTTTTGCTCAGAGGTTAACCGACACCAGACTTATTAGCACCCAAAATACTTCACCGACTCTGATTTGAATAAAAACAGATATATTTTCCTTCCTCTTCTAAGAACCAACGTTTCAAGTTCCTTCCGAGAGGATAAAACAAGTACCCAAACAGAAATTTATGTATCTTATGTTCCAAGAAGGGTAGGGTCGTTTGGATTAGAGATTTTGATAACGAGGGATTTTAATTAAAATCTCTCGTTTAAAATACCTGGAAATTTGTATGTGGGATTTGATCGAAATAACTCGTTTGGATTGAAACGCAGAATTTTAACCTTAAAACTCAATTTACAATATTATCCTTTGTCTTCTTCACTTGTTGGTTGTTCATATTCTACCTCATTTACTCAATCAAATTACAAACTAGAACAATGGTTCCTTCTTCTACACCTACTATTCGCAGCAATCATCTGTTCTTCCCCTGCTTTTACAATAATTAATTACAACAAAAGCTGCTTTTCTTTTATACTTATATCACAAACCCAAAATCTCATAACTGTGTGCATATTAAAGAAGAAGATAAAAAACCCAGCATGAAAGATAAATAACAATGCCAAAATCACAAATCCAAAATCTCACTCCCTTCCAATTCCAAGCGATTGGGTTTGCAGAATAAAGAAAGAATTGCTAGTCGATTGAAACCCAGATTGGGCGATTCCCCCTTCTCTCTCCCATCTGACCCCCTCCCCGTTCCCAATATTCCATCTGAACCCGCCAATTTCCCAGCTTCTTCTCGATTCTTTACCAGGCATATTCGAATAGCATATCGGAGTCGGCGTGGCGGGTGTCTCCGGCGCGACCAGTGAACCCAGAACCAAGGGAGAGCTTCTCCGCCACAGAGAAGTTGTGGATGGGTTGTTATTAGGGTTCATGCGCGGCGGTGAAGGCGACCAGTGAGGAAACGGTTAAGCGTAATAGATTGAATCCAAATTCCAGATCTCCCGCCAAGGAGGATGGCTGAGTCGACTGGGAGTCAACGACAAAGGACGATGGGGGAAGGTTGACAACTGTGGCGGTGGTTGGGGAAAGCTGGAAGCTGCTCCGGGATGCTCTGTGTCTGTGACAGTGGAGTGGTTTGAGGACGAAGGTTAGCGGAAGAAGGGTCGAACAAGGGTAGGTTTTGGAATAAATGAAAGAAGAACGAGAGATTTAGAAATAGCTGGTAGTGATCAGCTATTTCAAAAACCCACGATTGAGGGTTTTTAAATTTCTTAATTGTAAAATCTCTCATCATTGCCAAACGCAGAATTGTTTTAAAATCCTGCATAATAAGAAATTGTGCTAAAATTCCTCTGAAATCCCTCATTAGAATCTCTAATCCAAACGACCCCAAAATGAACTCTTTCTAAGGTTGCACTGCTTCCAGAAGTTTCTCATACACCTGTCTAGCAGATAAATCCTCGACCTGTCCACGAGAAGCAGATAAAGTATAGGATCAAATGTGAGCAGCTCAACAAAACCAAACCCAGCCCCACATAAACCCCAAAATCCTTAACATAAATTCATAATCTACTCACAACTAAGAGCTTTGATTTGTTGTTCCATCCCCTTTGAAGAGCCATTTGGCTTAGCCTTAGACCCAAAACCTGCATGCACAAAACATCAGATAAGACTTTAGTTTTACGCTCCAAGAGCTCGACAAATTACTGGAAACGTGCCACAGATTATTGGCTCCATACTTTGCCCATGAATTCTAGAAGCTCATTGTTAGCTTCACCGCGGGCTGCAGGGGCTGCCACAGTTACTCGAACATCATCAGCATTAACCCCTGTACAGGATTTAGCAAGTTAATCAACAAAATTAGTGATCAAGATCAGCAATTTCACATGGTGAAACCAACTCTAATAACAAAACAGCAATTTTCTTCTCTTCTCTGTATAAAAGCAAACTAGAAGCCAGCACTCTCAACGGAGAACATATATTTCCCACCACAACTATTAAAATCATTGTTATGATTTCAGACTGTAAATGCGGACATAACAGAAGCATATAAATGATTGAGTATCCAGCTACCCAAGTTGTGACATAGTGTGCAATCATTACTCCCAGAGCTTTCCTTGGACAAATGATATGCGCAGTACATACAGAATCTAAAGGTGACCAAATGCTATTATCTACCAGATGGGAGCAAAAAGATTGCCGAAGAAGTGCATGGTTGAGAAATTGATCCCAACACATTATCCCATTGCTCATCGCTTCTAAAGTCATCCAACAACCGCAAAAAAGCGAAGGATTTAACTTATCAGAACCAAGGTCTGGTTTCAGGAATCCTACTCCCACATGGAGTTAACTGTGTTACTCTTAATTGCACCCACAAAGAAGAAAAACACACATCATTTGGTCATATCCAAATGGTATACGCGGACTTTGGTTCATAAGTCATCGTTTTACCATATTCAGTTCAAGCAAACATGGCCACATAAGTACCATGGAGCACTGTAACCTTAAATACCATGCCATAATTTCAAACAGAATGACGAATGTCTCAAAGAAATGAATATTCACTTGTTATTGCCGATCGTTGTGCACGGTCCTCCACCTCTATGGCCACCTGGACAAGTCCTCCTTCCAATTGTGATATGCAGGGTGGCACTGGAGCATCCTACAGTATGTATCAAAATAAGTTGGCAATGACTAAGAAATAGTTATCTATCTTTCATAGTCAGCTATAAGCAAAGAGTAGAAATTGAAGTCATGTTGATTGGATAGAGAGGTAAGAACTTATAAGAGATCATCAAGCAAGATCAATGCCTACCCTAAAGACCTTCACTTCATTAAACTGTAATGTTACCTGAGGGTTTGTTTCAGCAGCAACTGTGCTAAGGGCACCATCAACTACATATATAAAGGAAGCAGTTTCTATATCTTCTTCAGCACGATAACAGACGAATAGGCCACAACCCATGCAGTTCATACGAAATTGCTTCTCCAATTTCCCTTCTCCCCTTAACAAGCATAATCAGAAATCAGTATCACTTCAGACCCAACACTTCGACAGAATTAGGACATAACATCCAACCGATGAGACAAAGATGCTAGAAAACTTATTAAACTATTCAAACATACTTTATGCTAGCTGCTGAACAGATGGCTTAAGCACCTGAACTACCCAACAGGCAATTCAACAACTATATGAGTATTCAAATTGACAGGGTAAGAATCACTCGAGACACTCAAAACATCTTCAGTATCAAAGTGGAGCAATGGGGAATGACGGTGAAGAACAACACCTAATCAGTCATAAATGAAGAGAAACTAATGTACAAACTGGCTGTACCTCTTCAAGAGAACCTTTCCACCATCGTTAATGTTGAGCCTGGCCAGATGCTTCTTCTTGTCCAACACATAAGATTTGTCAGTCTTCCTTTTGGGCATTTTCTGCAACTGGGTATCTTATACCGAGCATATTTTAGTACAAAAACAATGCCAGCAATCACCCAATTTCACGTTAACACAAAGTCAATGAATTTTAATTTACAAGGCCGATAACCGAACTGGACAATGAAACTGGGTCCTATTGCTTCTTGGTCAAATAGCCAGCGATTAAGCAGAATCCACACCTAAGATCACCCATCTCTACTTCTCTAAAAGATTAACCCCCTACTCGATTCCGTAATATTCATAAATTGTCCATTCTCAAGTGCAGAACCGCCGAAAGAAGAAATAACCAATCCAGATATTCGGGATCATTAAACGGAGAAGATGAAGATAGAGGGCGAACCAGTGATGAGGACATGGGAGCCACAGTGCTTGCAGTAATAGACGAATAGATCCGAATCAGGGCCATCGGGAGCTGCATCCTCGCTGGAGTAGGTGTGCGTAGTTCGTTTCGGCATACCGTTAGCCTAGCTTGACCCGGCAACGGCAGGTAATGCGTCCCCAAATATGAGCTTCCGGCGGCCGAAGGTGGTGGATACGGTTACTGTTTACCTCACCTCCAAAACCAAAAGCCGCCCAAAATCCTGCTTCGTTAATGAAAAACAAAGCTCTTAGTCTTGCGCTCAAATTTGGCCGACAGCCGGTTGAAACTATAAGGGGTCATTAGGGGTGGGCATCTAAACCCAACCGACTCTCGACCGAACCGAACCCGATCAATGGACCATACTAATGGGTAAGGGTGGATCATGGTCGGTTTGTCTAACTGAAAACCAAAACCTCGATTATCGGTTAGTTGAAACACGCCTGAATCCCACCGACAAGCGATCGAAGGAGACGTTCGTTTAACCGGCCAACCGATCGAGTGGTTTTTGTTTTTGGTTAAGTTAGCCGCGAAACCGAAAAAATGATGGTGTTGTCCGTTTAAACCCGCTCGGCGACCTGAGGAGGAAGAGGAAGAGGGCGAGCGGGGCGACGAGGTCGGGGCCGGAAAGCGGCGAGCGGGCCGACATCCTCTGTTCTGTTTCTGCGATCGGGGAAGATGGAGAAAGGCATCTAGCGACGTCGGAGACCGGACGCGGAGGAGCGTGGTCAGGGAGGGGAGACGGTGAGCGGGATGGCGGGACGCGGAGGAGTGGGGTCGGGGAGGGGAGATGTCGACGTCGGGGGAAGGGTTTCAAGATTCAGTGGACGAAGGCAGAGGTCGATAATGGGGTAGATGATTAGGGTTTTTCGTATTTTGCCTTTGGGGGGTGATTGTGGTGGAACGGAGACATAGTATCGTTTGGGCATTTTCGGGGAAGGATGTCGGTTAGCTTTAGTTATCCGGGTAACCGCGGTTAATCGCCTCCACTTACTCGGCTAACCGAAGCACACCTCTCTCCCTCGAAAATCGACCGCTCGTTAGTTTCGTCGATTTTCGGTTAGCCGGTAACCAACCGGTTTTGGTTATAACCAGTGGTTACCCGCTAACCGAAAACCGTTTGACCAGTCCTACTAATGGGAGAGTATATGGAGACTGAATGACCATGAAGAGAAGAGAACGAAGACAGATCACATCGAATGAGATGACTAAGATGGTTGATAAGTCACATAGGATAAATTATTTCCACGTGCTACATGAAGTGGAACAAGATGCTAATGAAACTATGCATCACGAGGATAGTTTGGGAAAGGAAAATGGAAGAGAGGAGGAGTTATGTAGGAATGAGGGGCCAAAAAGAATCGTGTTAACATCCCTGACCCAGAAGGAAAAGCAATCGAATAAGAAGGATGGGGATGTGGAACCACAAAGGGGAATTGGCAGAAGGAATGGTGGGTAGATTTCAAACAAATTAGATAGGTTGTAGTTGTGTTGTGGATGCAACAATTAAGAACTCAAAGATAAAAATGGAAAATGGAAGGGTAAGATGCACAATCTCAACAAGTCCTACTCCGACCACGGGCTGATTGTATGTAGGGGTGGTATTCGGTTTTCCGGTTAACGGTATAACTAGTTAGCGAACAGGTAATCGACGGTTACCGGCTGTACCATTAACCGGCAGTTACCGATTGCTAGTGGAGGAACAATAGAGCTTGGTATACCGGGATATAACCGGATAATAATCGTCAGTTATTTAACTAACAGACTCCAATATCCCCACCCGATAGACTTCCCGTCCCCTGTGCCTTATGTTGTCGTCAATCTTCATTCCTTTCCTCCCCAACTCTCTACACTCTGCAGCCAACCTTAAGAGGAGTCATCGATTGAGACCACCACCAGTCCATCACATGCGGCCAGTTGAGACTACCGCCTAGTCCACCTCCTATCTTTCATATATCCCTCCCCTCAGCCACTGCTCCCTCTCCATATCTACTTCCATGGTGGCGGATCCCGTTCTCCCCATGGTCCCCCAAACCTCCCTCCACGTCTTCCTGCCCCAGCGTTGATTTCCCATAATAGTGTCTCTTTCACCTAGGATCGAGGCGATTACTAGCAATGGAATCAATGGAATCGGCCGCAGGTCCATTATTCCCTCCAGATCTGTTATCGGAAGGCTACTCCTGGGCGATGACTTTGTTGGACAAGATAGCAAAAAGCTACGCCAATTGGATCTGCTAGATATGATGTCGGCGGGGAAGTTAATGGAGCAGTAATAGCGGTGGATCCATTTAACTAAATAAACGGTCGAAGCCCCAATGTCGACTTGAGAGAGCAATTAGGTTTATGGCTTAGCCATCTTTCTTAGCTTAATCCGAGCAGTAGCAGCGAATTTTGTTAAAGGAAGAAATTGACGAAGAAGGGAAGAAGGAATCTGATGAAAAGGAGAAGAATAAATCGAAGATGAAACCAAGATTTTGAATTGGCTCGTTTATAGCTTCATTATTGATGCCAATATAAAATTTGGAATTTGGGGAAAGTCTATGTTTCTCCCTGGCTCCTTCCTTGTGAAGTTCGAGCCCTGGGCCCTCCAATTCGCGGCCGCGATATGGGGCTTCTGGGCCGCGATCTTCAACTTTACTTTGCGATCAATGTTCCCGGCCGTGATCTTCAGCTTCCAGGACACGATCTACAGCTTCCTGCCCCCTTGTTACACTTGTGACCTTGTTTTGTACCTAATTCGCATATATCGTCTAATACACCCTAAAATCACATCGAATTCAAATAGGAACAAAATAGGGATGCAATCAACGACGTTCAAGCAATTATACACATGAATTGGCACAAAACACACATTGATATGTGGGTTAAATAACACTAATTTAGGTATTATCAAACTCCCCGCCACTTAGGCGTTTGCTTGTATCCAAGCAAAACCTACCCAAACCTAATGCAACATGATAGACAAATCAATGGGGAATGTGCTCTAGTTCTTCATTGCATAAAGAAGAGTAGACGGACATGAATGAACGTTACTATCTTCCTACTGTGCAAGCACAAACTCACGGGTGAGGACCATACCTACTACCTTAGGCCGAAAATTCAAGGTGTGCTTCGGGGGATTTTCTGACAACAAACACGAATTAGAACTCTTGAAGGTGCCCTTTATTCGCTCTTTAGATTTAGGAACTAACGTTTATTGGCCTCCTTTTTTCTTAAGTTGTTGCACCAAGCTTTTGCAATTCTTTTGCAAACAAGCATCTCTCCCTCATGACCAAGAGCCGATGAATCACATCCTTCCCTTTCAAGGTCACATGTGGGGAATTTGATGGGCGGATTCATCTTAGCCCAAGCACTATTTCCCAGCCTGCACTACACATTGGGTTGCCACACATGTCATGTACAAACGAGAGCTATAAGGTCTCATGAATCGCTAGCCTGTTTGGATAGGCAAAAAACTCAAGAATTGGAATTCTATTTCCAATTTCAATTCCATATTTTATGTTTGGAATGATAAGAATGTTGAGAAATGAATTCCATTTAGCCTAAGTTTTGGAAATTACAATTCCTATCAAAAGTGGTAGGAATTTGGTTTGTGAAGATGGAATTAGTGGGTCCCATCATTATTTACTATATTTTATTAATCAACTATCACTCTACTCTCTTTCTCTATTATTCATAGTCCGTTTTCCAAGATAAAACAAACATATTATATTATTAATTATAGTTAAAAGTGCAATTCATTTCCATAGTTATAGAAACTAGGATAAATACAATTTAATATCCAAACCTTTTATTTTAAACAATATAATAGCCAAACCATTTCGAAAACAATCTAATATCCAAATTGTCAACTTTTTGTCTGTTTGACCGTTAGTTGACACTTCAAAAAAGTTCGAAGTACGACACTTCATCAATATCCATCGATATCTTCTTTGAAAAACCACCAACATATCGTAGTTCTAAACCCGAGAAGTCTATGACTCCACCACGATGGTATAGAATATCTAAATATTCAGTCATCTGCAATGCCAAAACAAGAAAACAAAGTTGTATTGTGACAATTTCCCCTAAACAAAGCTTTTTTGAAGTGTCAACTAACGGTCAAACGAACGGAAAGTTGACGATTTGGATATTAGATTGTTTTCGAAAAGGTTTGGCTATTATATTGTTTAAAATGAAAGGTTTGGATATTAAATTTTATTTACCCTAGAAACTATACCAAACACAAAAATTGGAATTGGAATTCTTTAAAAATATAAAATCAAAATGGAATTCCATTTCCATTTCTTCCGGAATTGTATCCAAACAGGCCATAAAAGGTACTTTGGACCTTGACATATGATTCCGTGAGGAGGAAAGATACTTGGGTGATGGTAAATCGTGAAAGATGGCCAGGACGTGGTAAAGCTATCCGATCACTAAGCATATCCTCAAAGGGCACTCCGAATCCGTAAGGATTGGTTGCCTCCCACGTGAGCCTCATTTTCAAAAGAATGTTTCACTATTTTCTTTCTTTTCTAATACGCACAAACTTGTAAATGCTTTGAGTTCACTAGACACAACAGAGAATCCCGCACACATGTTCTTCCTTAAATAGCACATATTATCGACTCACAAAAGAGGAATAAGATAGTAAAAATTACCCACACACCGGTACTCTAATCATGCAACTATCACCTAGCGAGCACAACACATCAATCATCTAACAAATCAAAGAATATTTTTTTTCGTTGAATAAATTAAAGAATATTGAGTAAGTAGTTGCAAGGAATAAGGTGTTTTGGAACCCTCAACTTTGAAAAAGTTTGGGTAATAGCATTCAAGGTTCCAAAACTCTATCATTTGACCATTAATCACCACAACACAAACACAATCGCTAGCACACATTTCCATAAATATTCATCAACGTCTTACATTCATAAACAAGGGAGGATTCTAGAAATATATGATTCAACCACTCATGATTTTCATTCTAAAATTCATACACATCCCCCCCCCCCCACACACACACTTGAGCAACACATTGTTCTCAATGTGGGAGTTTCATAAGAGAAAATCGTGAGGGTTACCATAGGTTTTGGTTGTGGGTTGGTGAAGGTACACAAGTGTAGGTCTTTGTCTTCCTAGTGGTTTTCACAATGATAAAGCGCATAAGATAGAGAGGAAGACGATTAAGAGTTATAGGTACGATAGTTATATAATATGAGTATGAATACTACTGGTGCTAGAAAATTTAAAGTACGAAAAATAAAGCAAT